AAAATTAAATCGATATCTTTACTTTCATTATAAATTTTATGAGCTTGGCTCTAGGCGAGGTGATCCCACACTTTGTCTTTACTTTAGGCTTATTATATCAACACTCAAATCAGCAAAACTGTATTTGGGAAATGCTGTATTCCCCAAAAAGCTAAGTCCTAGCCTTTAGCTTTATGATCGTCATTTGAAATGGCCCAGTGTAGAAATAATTGTGGAACGCTGCTTCAGTCTATCAGTTCAGAATTAAGGATGGGTATGTCCACTTGTGAAGCTGTGTGTGAAAATCTGAAACACTCTGTATCAATAATATTCACTCTTAATTTTATAATGGAAATAAAGGATATTGTAGTATATATTTGTTATATTTGATCATAACTAAACTACAAGGCATCTTTAAGTTGGTAGAAATTACTTTTGTTTTATGAAAGCTTTGCTTATGCTACACTCGAAGAAAATTCTTACCATGCAAAATGCATATTTATCATGTCAACTTCTTAGCTAATGATTAACTGAAAAAAAAACCAAAAGTGAAAATTATTAGCATTTTTTAAAAAAGCATTTAAAATGAAAGTTTCTCTCTCTCTCTCTTTTTTTTTTTGCAAAATTAACAAAAACATTAAATATGAAAATATTGGGCATCTCAGTCTTTAACTTTTGCCTGAAGTAAGCAAAGGTAGGTGTTTTTATGTCTTTGATAGATCAGGAAAATAACAGAACCATTTCCAAATTTTCCAGGATAAGTCTTACTTCTTCATTTTTAAAAATATACAATTAAAAAATAATCAGTTGTTAAATATGAAGCATTTTCATGAGTCCATATAATAAATAATTGTGCCCAAAAAATTTAGGAAAATTTACCTTGGCTTCAGTTTCATGTTCCAGAACATTTTATGTATTTTGGAAGTTTCCAGTCCACTTTTAATTATATGTACATATGCATACATACACACATACACGTAAGTGGTCTGTTCCACATAAAATGGCTGAAAGCCATGAATTTCACCCTTTTATAACTAATATAGAAGATATCTTTATTTGGGTATATTCATGTTATATTTTCTTATATTTGTAGGTAGTTTGTTGTTGATCAGATATCTTAGTGTTATAAATACGTACTACTCTTTTTACACAGGTAAAGGCTACACACTTCAACCTTTGTCCTTGAGTCTCAAGTTAGCACGTATGTGTTTCAAACAGGTGACACAGAAACATGTACAAACTGGCTTGGCTTAATATCACATGTAGACCACTGACTGAAGTATGTAACAAGTGAACTTATGGAATACCTGAATTTGTTTCGCTAGTGTATTTAAGTCACTTATGTCAATAGTTCCATCTGGCACGACAGTAATTAAGCCAATAAAGCCAATACTAAAATTCACAAATCATATTTAAGATACATATCAGACTTCCTTAGAAACCACTTAGTTAAAACAAAGGGAAACTTAAATGACTATATTTCTGCCTGTCTACCATACTGCCTCAAAGTTCTGTCATTACATCTACATATTTTATATAAATTACCTAGTGCACTTGGTTTACACAGAGTATTACACCTTGTGTTCATGCTGTCATACAGTTTATCAAGATATGATTGTGAAATGTTGTTCCAAATGTTTCATTCTACACAATACAGCTAATTTGGCTGGTCACCTTTTGATCTTCTAAGTCTTTACCTAAGCTCATACAGCTTCAAATCAAGATTTTGTGCAGACCAATAGATGGTTGTGAGTGTTCTACAGGACTTTTACAATCAAGATATTGTTTCACCAAGTTTGTTGTACGATTGGGATCTTTGCCATTTTGAACAAATAAGGCCTGCCCAATGAATAATGTTCCTGAGGGAATAGCATAATGAATCAGAGTATACCTGTATTGGTTAGCAGACAGGGTGCTATCGACATTGTGTAGTTCAACATCATCGTTGGCTGAGATACAGCCTCAAATTTGTATTGATCCCTCACCATACTACCATTCAGAACTTTATCAGTAAACAAACTGTCCTTTATTGCTGTAAGAAGAACATTACCAACTTTGTTCATTCCAATACCATTTCAAACTTTTGGTTTGGTTATCTTTTCTCAGAAGTAGTTCCAAGAAACTATATTGAGACCAATTCGTTCTGGTGCGTATATTACTACTCCCTAAGTAACATTCATACCTGTATTTACAGCAAAATCTTTGGCATGGTCTGTACTTCACTGTTGCCTATTTTGTATAGATACTTAAGATCACTTCTGAAGAGTTTTGGTTTTTTTACTTCAACAACAACTATTATTGTCAGAGCCTACTTCACATACCCTTTTCAGATTCTTATATACAATTCCTACTGAAACCTGAAATCTTGCTACAATTTTTTACATGAAATATCCTTAACCAATCAAAAATTTTATTTCTACACAAATATCATGCAATATTTCAGTCCCAGTATCCATGACCAAATTCACACTACAAATACTAGGCATAGTATGAAATGCCTATACTTTATTCTGGTGTGGCACTTTCTGATTGGTTGAATGAAACTAATCAGAGTTTAACTATAAAAACAAGACTCTACTCTGAAACAGTGAATTTTCACATGATAAATGGGCAGTATTCCTGTAACTTAGCTTTATAACCTTTTCCCCCAACATTTTCTTATTATTTCCAATACTTTATTCATATCAATTCTAACTCCAAAACTAACTACAAAAGCTTATTGTATACTAAAAAAATATTATAGTTTTAATACAAGTCCAAGATGTTCTATGATCTGAGGAAATGCTTTAAGTCTCAGTGAAGTCTGTTATTAATGAATCTGCAGTATTAGTTAAAAATATTTCTAGTTGCTTACTTTGAAATCCAAGATATCTTCAGATCTCTAAGTGCCTCAGTAAACATTTCTTCTGGTGTCTTTTCTTTTTCTGTGTGTGCCTTGTTCAGAGATGTTTTTTTTGGAATTTCAGGAATGATATACTTGAAACTATATATGTCCTGAAACATATATATATACACATATTAAAGTTTTATTACCAATTTTAAAATGTAAATATCCATTTAAATAATCAACTACAACATTTAATTTTATAGTTTTATATTGACAGAGGTTCTGACACAAATCTATTCTACTCCATACAAAATATTTCTAAGCTGCCCTACATTTGTATTGCAATTTTTACTTTATAAAAATTAGAAACTTTCATTAACAGATAACAATGAAGTAAAAAGTTTTTTCTTAAATACACACACATTCTTTGCATAATATATTACTAAACAGTCTTAGTTTTGTATTATAATTTTTCCTTAAAAACCAATGAAATTTTATTTATGAATAACTAAAAAGTAAAATGTTTTGAAAAGTACACTGGCATCATCAGTGCAAAGTCTTTTTTATATCTGACAAAAAATCTTCTTGAGATTAAAATTTTCATAATTCCTTCACTATATAAGAAATGAACATTAATAGAATAAGCATGCAGATTAGTTTTAACTTCATAAACGTTTTCATACAGTCACATCATTCAAATAAATGTATTAACCCTGTGCACATGGGTTTGTCAAAGTGCATACATTACAATCTTTTTACAATTACATTCAAAATTGAATTAAATAATTTTATTATCAATAAGCTCAGCATCAAATTTATAACTCAAATTCTTATATTATCAAAATTTCAAAAGGAAATGCTTAAATAAGTTCTCAATCTTCACTACTTTGTGTCACAAGACATATCTGGCACTCTGATTTCACCTCTAGCTGATATCCTAGCTCGAGGAAATCATGTGCATATAGCGTGACATTATTGTAACTTGAATGTTTGTTTACACTAAGCTATCCCACTGTGATAAATTTATTTTCAGCTACTGTAAAATGATCTAATGTACAATGTAATGTAATAAAACTAAAAGAAAGCAGATGTGAAAAATGTTCGAAGCTGAGGTTGTTAGGATAAATAACCGTAAATGTTTCTTCCAATCTGCAACCATTCTAGAAATAAAAAAGGAATTTCTTGATTTTATTTCATATTTTTTAACTTTCATTTCACTATAGATTGATGATTAGGGTAGAAAAATTAAAAGATCAAATACTGAGTTTGATGTTCATTTAGAATGTTCTATAGGTTATGCAAATGAAAAATGAAACTGTTTGATAAAAAAAGTACTTTTATTCTTAGCATGAAAATCACCTTTCACTCAGAATGACTCAGTAAAGACTTCATAACAGACTAAAAACTTGTTAAATTTCGTGAAGATACACTTAATACATTCAGTTATAATATGTATAGTTACATGGTGGTTACAAAGTCAGTCAAGTTGACTAACCTGTATTCACAGTTAGTTCGTATTATATTATTCATACTAACCATTTAACAAAGAAATAATATGTAACTCTTAGAATTATTGGAAATGTTTTACTTTGGCTTTAAGTAACAGTTTCCTAGGAATGCCAAGATATTAAAGTTTGTTTGATTTAGTGCAAAACTACACAATGGGCTATCTGCACTCTGTCCATCATGGGCAACTGAACTCTGAATTTTAGTGTTCTAAGTCCATAAAGTTACTTCTGACCCACTGAAAGATGCCAAGATATCAAAAGTGTTTAAACTCTTATTTTTTTGTAAATTTTAGAGAGATTTAGTTATTAAAGAGGTGTTTTCAAATAAGATAAAGAAAATTGACTGTAATATTAAAGTCAGTCAATAAGAATTAGCATTACATAATATATAGAGAATTTTTGCTTACGAATTTTATGAATTAACCATTGCTATTATCATAATGAAGCCAACATTTAATTCTTGTCAATAAAGTTATCAAAAAACGTTCAATGAAGTATGATAATGATTTGAATTTCTAATGTAAGACTATTTGATTTTTAGCATAAAGTGTTTCATAATAGTTTTCTAAAATAATCACAAAAAAAGAAACATAGAATAAACTTACACTTTTCTTTCCGAGATCATCTTTAGCATATGTTATTGTGCCTGTTAGGTACTGGCCAGCAGTCCAACATTTAGATAATCTATGGTTAAGAAATATGACATTTATAACCTGTAATTAAATAACATCCTGATGTAGGCATTCAAATATTTTGAATAATAATAAACACAGTTATTTAAATTGTAAAAACAGCTGTTTTTTTTAAGTCCAAAATTATTATGTAAAGTTAATTGCTACACTATGTCATAATTTTCAAAAATATTATTTTTGTCATTTAAACTGACTCTTTATGCTCATGCTTACATCAAAGCTAGTCTATGACATTGGATAAAGTAAGCAATACAATTTAACAGTGAGTGTCTCATTAACAATGAAACTTTCTTGACTTGAAAGGCTGTTTCAATGTTTTAATAAAATCATTTTATAACAATAATTACATCAGAGTCAACAACAAATGGGTTAAAATACCTCAATTAAATAACAGCATATAAAACTACCCTTTAATGTCAAAGATAACTATACATACTAAAATGTCTTACTAAATTATGAGTTATAGATAATTCATATTAAATGCTTTTACAATGTATTGTTTTCAAGAGAACATCAATGTTATGAACCATTGTTTGATTCTGCTTTCAGATTAATCCATATAAAATAAACAAATATTCCATTAGCTTTATTTCATGTATTCACAATTACTTTTGCTCTGCATAATTTTTTATGATGCAAGTTATTAACCAGTCCTGACTTTCAAAACTATCTACCCATCATCCTTTTGACTCAATTTATGACAAAAAAAATCAGTTAAATGAGTCAACGGTAAGATATATTTAAAGAGATGGGTATGAGAATGTTGCAAAACTGAGGACATAAAACACATTTTACTATACATGAATGTAGATCCTTCAGAAGCAAAACAAAGTCTCCTAAGATACTCAGCAAAAATAAGTGATAACCCTATTAAACCAAAGTTAGTTGTTTACCTCCTTTGGTGTAAAGGAACTCTAAACAAGTGGTTGAAAAAATCTACATTGTTAAGTGAAGAATGTGTTTTATTTACCCCCAAATGAAATGATAATAATAATAATACACATCCAAAGACACCAATGGCAAAATAATCAAAGGCACAGTCATCAACTCAAGTTGAAAGTAGTGCTCTACTAAAGAAAACTGTAAAAACTCACAAAGTCTACTTTTTGCATGAAAACCACCTCTTCAGATTTAACCAGAGAGGATTCCTCTATGTTTAATAACTTAGGGTTCATAGGATCGACTGTTAGCATAACAGCATTGTATAAAAGGTTTGAAATGATAAAGCCAAATAGAGACACATAATTCAGCTTGGGTGTGTAAACACTGAAGGAAATGTCAAACTGGTGGAAGGAGAAGGCAACACTAAAACTAGATCTCATTCAAATCAATGAAGGCACATGTGTCAGACACAGAAACCAAAACCTGCATCAAAAATCATCACTGAAAATATTCAAACAAAGAGCATCTAAAGGAGGGGGGGGGGTCATATTGCATAATTTCAAGGCTTCAATATCATCCACAAACCATGGAAAGTCACCATAAAATTGATATAATTAATAAATTAAAATATAAACTTAATATGAATAACGTTTTCTTAAAGTTAAAAGAATATTTGAAATGTTTAGGTCAATCTTTGTGCAGATTATCATACTGGTTATGTGAGAAGTGTACACATGTTTAAAGTTATAAGTTGTTTCTAAATTTGAGCTTAATATAACATTTAGAATGTAGTGTTTTTACCTTAAAAATATATGTTGTTCAGGCAATAAAATAAGCATACATGAAACAATTAAATATAATCAGAAATGAGTACAGTAGTTCTTTCTTGACTAATCAGCTAATAACGGATGAGATTGCAAAGAACTTGCGATGTAGATAAAAATATACAGTTTAACAATGCTAAACTTTAGATGCAAGTAATGTAGTGAAGTACTAAAAACAAAAAATACTGGTTAACACCTGATTCTTCAATGTTTTAAGCTCTAAAGTTTTATTACTTAAAGAAGTAAAAAAATTTGGTGGTAATGATAATGATTTTTCATTTAGTACAGACAGTAATGAACAATGACAATACCCGACTGTTCATGAGATAAGTGATTTATATATATGTTGATCATTTTATTAAGAAATTATATTTTATTAAATACTGGAATGAGAAATATTATGCAATTACTGACTTTTCACTTGGTAGGGGTGTTATAAACACTGGGCATGCTGCACCAGGCTTAAGTATTGCTGTGCAAAATTTCTTTCCCCCAATCAAGGCTTCTGAGTGGTCAGCATAAATGTCTAATGAGAGAGATGATGGTAGCTTTGACTGGACTAATAAAGGCATGTCAGTGATCTTCTCTAAAAGAGAACGCTGTTCATGACGAACTTGGAGCTTGACTGTGTAATCCCCCTTCTCAAGTTTGACTGAGTACTGAAAGTTGAAAGGATAAGTTTACTTTGAGTATCTCACCGTTTACAAGTGAAACAAAAATATGAAATTTGCATAATTGCAAAACTTACAAAATACTTGCTTCTCACTATACTTTTAAAAACAATGCTAAATAAATTGGTTTATGGAATAAACTACCTCATATTGAAAGCAAGCACCATTCCAAGACACAAAACACAGCTTAAGAATACATGATATTTAGAAAAAAATATTATATTTAATAGACATTAAGACCTCCAATTTTCCAAATAATTCCTAAAAGGTTATTATTATATAAAGTTAACATATGTACTGATATTTTGTCTATTCATGATGATATTGTTGAACAGCTTTATTATGCAGTCATACTCAACACTAGAACTGTCATATAGAGGGGGAATCAATTTATTGACTACTGAAAGTTCAGCATATTTGTTAAAACAAGATCAGTTTGTGACAATCAAAAACACACATATATAAACTAGTTGCAGGCAAGGAAAGTATCTAAAACTCTCTTTAAATTGAAAATATAAAACAAACATAGAATATTACATAAACAGCATTTAAAATATAGCAACTAACAAGCTGAGGTACCCATCCTTTGTCTGGGTTATGAACTTTAAAAAATGTGGGATAAATAACACAAAAATCCTAACTTCCACACAATTTATTTGTAACATAGCATTTTATTACAGTATTCATTATTACCTCACCCAAAGTTTTGTATAAGCTTTAAGAACTCACTATGTGTATACTTAAAACATGACATACACTGTACGATAGTCAAGGTGACTTTATAGGAAGAGGGAGTGGCCAAGGTAGTGGTAGTAGGGGTGCTTTCTGTTACCCTCTTTCAACACCAAGGTCTTAATGTCCTTCCACATTGTTTCACATTATTAATTAATTTATGATCACTGGTCACAGAACTGTCTTACTGGCCGAAGTTGTGAGGTCACAGGTCAAAGAAGGAAGTGAGCATAACTCAAGAAAGGCATGTCAGTGATTTTCTTTAAAAGAGAATGCTGTTCATGATGAACTTGGAGCTTGACTTTGTAATTCCCCCCACCCCCTACACACACACTGTGTGTGTATGTTGATTTAGAGAAAAATAAATTTTTTTGGTGCAAGCACTACCCGTGAATGTAGTTTAGGTTAACTTATGTCAAAGATCATAAATGTTCAAAAACAGCAATAATAAAGGTGGAGGGAGTTCTGAACCCCCCAATAACATGCCCCTTGTTCCAAACTATCTTTCCACAAAGTTTGGTTGAGACTGGCCCAGCAACCTAGGAGTAGTTAAATAACAGACAGTCAAACACAAAATTTTGTGCTTGATATATATATATAAAAATATAGAAAATCAGTTGTTTTTTATTCCTCAGTGCATCAGTAATAAACTTTCATGCAGCATAATTAAAAAATATTAAATCATACAAGATTAATAAGAATGTTCTTACTTTTGAAGGGTAGGCATCTCCTGTATAGATTAGCTGTTTGTTAGAGTCAAATAACATCCACAGTTGACCCTCATATTCGGATTCATACAGGAGATCACACAGTAGAGGACAGGATGGTGTAACTTCACACTGTTTCATCTTAGAAAAAAATTTAAAGCTTATATCAAGTAAAACATCAAAATCTGCTCAATCATACAAGTTATAAACCCAGTATTCATCAAATAAATTACAAGCTTTTAGCCACTAGGACTATAATATTCATAGGAATGTTTGCTATATCCATAATGTACCAGCCTAAATGACAAATTCAATTTCACCATGATAAAACCGGTTTTCTATTAAAATAAAAATTGTATTCTTTATTTTCATTACATCAGAGTGTATTTATATAAAAAAATTATACCTCTTACTATTTGGTTGTCAAATCTTAAGGACTAAAAATGATACAATAACAGGATTACTTAATTTGTATTTCCTGTTGCACAAGGCATGTTACTTTTACCTTTATATTAGAACAAATTATGTTCACAAATGCTTGATAATTGGTGGGGATAACAAAACACACACAGAACAGTTACCGTTCTAAACATATATGTTTGTTTATCACTACATGAAACACTATATATATATATATATAAACACACACACAAAACAAAAAACAACAACAACATTATAATGAGAATAAAATTCATAATTATTCTTCCATTACCAGTACTCATTGTCATCCTTAAGTCATAATGGATAATGTCTATATCCAAAGCACTCAAACACATTGGGGATATTCCATTTAACAGGGAAAATATTGATGCCAATTTCAAACTCACCAACAACTAAGGAGAATCAGATTATGGGTTGGAAGTTGAGTGCATGAACCCACAATGTCTTAACCCCTACTGCCTTTCGCTGCCTGCAGCCAGTTGTGGGAAGGCAGTCACCCTTAATATTTAGATATACTCTTAAAGTAGAATTAAACCACTCTAAAATTCTACAATGTAAAACTCATTATAATGTTTTTGTTTTGTATTAAACTCATTATTGTTTTATAGTGCTGATTTTAAATGCCTATGGACAATTAATGTATTTAATAGCATTAGACTTATTGATTTATATAAATACATATAAACACACTCACACCACATACAAGGGTAATGACTTAGTTGACATACATCATGCACACATGTAGTTCATAGTCAAACCTGATGTTACATACACAAAGATCCTACTCTTATACATGAATATAAACATACAGATGCCCCTATTATTCATAAAGTTTTTACTGAAAACAATCATATAGTATAAGTATATCCATTTTTTATCAACTTCCATTATTTCTATACACAAAACCAGTCATTTACACTGTAAATATTCTTCAAAAGCATGGTATCTTTATTATCATGCACAAAATTCTGGGAACAGTTTTATCTTGTGATACTGAATGGTTTGTTACAGTACAAGTTAATATTATTAACCATGACATGCACATGACAAGTTAAGGAGTGAAATGAGGAAAGATCCACATATCGTTCACAACTTAGTTATAAATGTGAAATTAACTCCTAGTATATAATAATTTGTAACAGAACATGTATAAGCATATGATACAAGATTTCAACATTAAAACCATGGTATTCATACATTAGTTATTATAACATACAAAAATATACATTGGTATAATAAAACTAATAAACTTACTCATAATTAGAATGCTACTTATTTGGAATACCGATTACACTAAACAGTGTCACAAATACAAACTTGTATTGAAAAAGTCTTTACTGGATATCCAGAATCATATAACCATGTATTTTGTTTACCTTTTTTCTTATGTATGTTATCATTAATTCACAAGTATAATGTATCAAAATTTTAAAGAAATATTTTTCATTAACATTAGATTTAAATATGTAGAAGTAGTACAACAGTTTTTCAGAATTTGGTGAAAAATGTCACTATATCATTTTAAAGCATTTAATAGGTATTTTTGGAAAAACAAAGTGAAAGTACAAAAACCATATCTAGGGCAAGATGAAAGGAAGAGTTGCACTATATCTTTGTAAGCTTATATATATATGTGTGTGTGTGTGTGTGTGTGTGTGTGTGTGTGTGTGTGTATATATATATATATATATATATTTAAAATAATTTATTCATACATCCAAGCACTTAAAACACTACTGTCAAAATATAAGAAAGTATGAAATTCACACAAAGTCCTACCAACAGCATTCAAACATATTTCCAAGAGCAGCCAGCTGAACAAAATAAACTATGGAACAGTCTCCTTCAAGTGTCTATTTAAGATACTTGATATCTATTGGGCATTTCGAAGTGCAGACAATTTACAAAGAGCTCCTATGCCAAACAGAATGTAGCCCACACCATAACACCTTTATGTCACACTGTTCACCCACCTACCTCAAGAGATTTGTATTTGTTTATCATATTGAAACTGGGTGAAATGGCTCTCACAACAGGATTTACACTAAGCAAGACAGTGCCATGCATTCTTTGGGTAATGTGCAGCTTGCCTATCCCATACTTTGCGAAGTACAAATATTTAGGGAGAGCTTGTTGCCCAAGCTTCACTACTGGTGCCCCTTTAAATGTGAGCCCTTTGGAAGTAGTAAAGTCATTAAACATTTGCTATAAGTATGACCTGCAGCACCTACTGCCAGTCTGAATGGTTTTAAATGTTTTTCTGTCAAGTTCCCAAAAACATTAAATGGTTTCATTCACAACAGATTACATATAAACAAGCATTAGGACAACTGTACATATTAATTTAACAAATTTTCAGAAACCTATCATTTATATTCCAGCATATTTGATAAATTTGGACATTTTGTGCAAATTTTTACACTATTAATCTACTTGTCTGCAATATGACTGTATTTACAGTCACTGAATTTCCTTGTAGAATATGCTGAGTACCTCTAGTCACATGTTAAGAGATGTCAGGATACGTTTGAAAACAAAACAGTGTATATATTTTTAGGCAGGTATGCATATTAAAAGTCAAATGAATATGATATTAACGAATTAAGATTGTGAAGATTACTTTAATGTGTTATAAAAACATGCAGAACTGAAAGGTGATATCAATTGTTTAAAATCTAGTGTAGGAGCATGTTTGTAGACATTTTAATCATTTTTATATTTTCTTCTAATACACTGTGTTGGAGGTTAACATGTAAGGCTGTTAGAAAACGTAAAATAAAAATACATTGAATAAAGAATGGAATGGCAGCTACAATGATATCTTAGAGCTACCTAGAATAAGTTGTTCATAAAAAACAACAAAAGGACTAAAGTTCTGTAAAAAATACAAGGTAAATAACAATAATAAAATTACAAAATGGCTTATATACAATGGTGAATGTGTAGTTCAATTGTAAGCCGTATATCTGTCTGCCTTTTGGGATAATATCTCGACATCCAAGTGGCACCAGCTTATTCTCTGTTGGCCTCAGAACTTGAACATGATGCTTTAAGCATACCACAGGTAAAGCTTCTTCTTGTTTTAGCAATGAAGCAATTTCTACACGGTGGATACCATCAGCTCCTATCTAAAAAAATGTTTCATTTATTCTTCCAATTGTCATGTTCATATATCAGAAAAACTACAGGGTTCAAACTAAACAGACAGAACAACTCTTTAACAAAACAGAGAAAATAAGTAAAACCAATAATGAAAAAAAATTTGACTGAAGGCTTTAAAAATAACTTGTACTTATAACCTCTCTTTCATTGATTGATTAATCCATTCATTTTTTGTTCATTTATTTTATTATCATTAATAATTACATCTACTATCTTTAAAATATATGTATTCACAGCTCTATAATGCCATCTAGTTAGACTCATTATTACAGCAGGCTGGTACAAATGAGATTAAACTAAAACAACTGCTCATTTTACTAAATTTTTCAAGATCTTTGTGTGATGATATTTTATTATCTAATTCCTATGAGAGAACAATCTACGCTATGAAATAATAATGAAGGGAGATAATAATTTGAAGAACATCTTTGTATTTCTTAAGTATTAAACTTTCACCAGAATTGTACTCAATTTATTATAATGTTAGCCCATTGTTATAGTGAACCAAGTTGTCAAAAACCAATTCCAAGCATACTTGAAAAACAATATTAAACAATTATTGATTAAATGTATTCCTCCCCAACAGCTCAGTGATAAGTCTGAGGGCTTATAATGCTAAAATTTGGGTTCCAATACCCATTATGGGCAGAGCACAGAGCTCATTGTGTAAAAATTAAACTTACTACAACACACAAATTATAGATATTGGTACAGTAGAACCTAGATTAACAGGAACCATGCCATTAAGAGCAGACCTTTTCAGTCTCTTTCTTTTTCCTACTATTTGTAATCAAAATAAATCTTGCAATAACAGCCACCTTGACATTTTGGATTAAGGGCAGTGTCATTAGTCTCATTTTCTATACAAGCACTTGATAATGTGAGCAGTTATCTTTGTATGCCTGTACAGTATACTGCTAAATTCCAAACATCCCACCAGAAGGATGACCAATATTCAAACACTTGCGATGTTTATTGTATCAGCTTCAAAGCATATACTTCAATAAACACTTTCACAGATTCAAAGTGTTTCTTATTGCATTAAAGTTTTATTTAATGGTGTAGAACTCAAATAAAAAATTTCTATTTCATAAAATCAAACAGCTATATAGAAACAACATCAAACACAACATTGTATGTAATGATTAATCATTAGTTATTCCTAGTTAAAAATAATTAATAGCCAAACAAATACAGAAAAAAAAGAATTTATAAAATTACATTCCTTTCAATCCTTCATTATATTAATCTTATGTTTGACATGATTTCTTATGCTAAGATGAGGCCAACTGCTTCAAAAAATTTTATTCAAAACTAATTTTATTTAAATATTTTTGAGATTTGATGTTTGACAAGAACAAAAGATCCCCTTATTGTTTTACATGATGTATACTTGTGAAAGATAATAAAATTCACAATCTGAAAATAAAACAAATAAATATTTATAAACTATATAAATACCTATGGGGTCAATCCTACTGACATTTTTCTAAACTATTTATATACTATAACACATTCATGTTTGCTTGTTTATTTTTATGTGCAAAGCTGCACATAAACCATCTGCACTTTCCATATGATGGGGCTGAACCCCAATTTTTAGCATTATAAGCTCCCAAGTTTACAACTATGCCACTAAAGGAATGTGGATCTGTGACTGTTGGGCTACAGGATCAATAAATAACAAATGAATCCCACAAAAAATGTAGACAAAAATGTATAAATATTACATTAAATAATGTTAGTTACTGCTGGAATTTTCTGTATCTTATTAAAAAAAGGAGTGATTTCTCTCAATTAATTTGATCAGATCTTTAGACAGTACTGTAGTAGAAAAAAAATATTTAACACATGGACTCTACTGGTAGTGAACAGTATTAAACAAATTGGGAGTTTGATTATTAAAGGTTTCACCAAAAAGAAGAAATAAATTCCTTATCTTTACTTGTTGCACTACAGGAAAAAGTAGTAAAGCCTGTCAACTAAAAGATGATAGACATTAGGTATTGATAAATAAGTTGTTTTAAAATTTTACCCCCCAAAAAGCACACACACACACATATTACAAAGTAAAAAATTAAAACAAATGCATTCTAGTTTGGGTATAAGTGGCTCAAGCTTATTACATATAGATAGATCCTAAAATAAGATAAAGATATTCTAACTTAATTAATAGGCTGTTCTCTTACCATAGTAATGTTAGGTTGATTTGGTTTAAGACCACGGAAAGCAATGCTGTAATCTATAACAATATCATGTGAATTTGTCCACCATCTTGCTATACAAAATTCTGATGTTCTATTGTCCTGAAAATACAAAACTTGAACATTCTTATATCAAGTAGTTGTAATTTACTTACACATATAGAAAATTATAACAATTTTAATTTAAAATACATTATATATATATATATATATATCCAGACTCTAATAATAAGTATGATTTAGATGGATTTATAGCACAAATTTACCTATAAAAGTTTAGAGTATATTAAACAAGAGTGAAATGTTGTATCTGCATATTACACATTTTCTAATTCAGGTAAAAAGTTATATTAAAAAGAAACATGACATTATATAAAAAACAAAGAATCACATTGTGGCTGGTGTAACAGATAAATAAACAGGTCATGAAACTCCTGTAAACCTAGAAAATACAATGTGGCACAATAACAGCAGAAAAAAAACTCAATTTACAGGACATGACACTGCTACACTATAGAAACAATGAAAGGGAAATTTTTCTTTTGAATAGAGTAATTATTCGTTTTTTATTCAATATTTTTATTTTTAACAATAATTTATCTAAACTCCTAAGGTCACATTTTTAAAAAAACAGAAGAAAAACTAACCTTTACAGGACATGCAAGTGTCATTTCTCCTTGTGGCCCAAGTTGTACTCGTTTGAAGAACTCCTGTCCTGTACAGGACATCTGAGGTTGAAGTTGTATTGAATGAAGTATAAATGTTGAGCTGCGCTCTTGATTATGTGATTTAATCTTTATAACTACACAAAAGAAAAAACAGTAAAGAGATAATGAGAAAAGTGAATGAAGAACTCCAAGCACGAGCAGTCATCCACAGAAAATTATAATCAGGAATTAGTAGTACCAACTAGAGAAAAAAAAACTACTAAAATGTAAAATCTATATAAAACAATTAAAAAAAGATGTAATTTAACACAAAGAACAGCAAAAAAGAATAATCAAGTTAATAAGTATGATTTAGATGGATTTATAGCACAAAATTTCCTAAGAATACTATAAAAGCTTAATGTATATTAAACAAGAGTGAAATGTGGTATCTGCATACTACACATTTTCTTTGGAAAGAATTCAGGTAAAAAATTATGTTAAAAAGGTTGTTTGGTGTTTTATGGTGGAAAGCAACTAAGCTATCTGCACCAAACATCCGGTAAAAACAGTAAAAGTAAAATTGAAGTAAAATGTAAAAATAAATTGAGTTAAAACCAAAATATGTCCAAAATACAGAAAAAAAGACTAATTGTTCTTAAAAATTAAAAATACAATCAAGTTGAACAGTGTCACTATCGCCAAAACACCGTCCAATGTCAGGGTGTGAACCCTTACAAAACACCTGTCTAAAATGGTGCCGCTGCTCACAGTCGTAATGATAGTACGACTATTGTGACTTGAGTGTCACAAAGGCTACACACTTTGGTGGATCAGTACCAGATAAAAGAAAACAATGAGTTAAAAAACTGTGACCATTGTGTAGCCTTGCTAGGATAACCTCCTCCTTCTGGTCTTTGAATACAGGACTGTAGTCCATGTATGGGACAGCCACGGCCGTGATGGCGCCAGAGCAGACAGACTTAGCTGTGGTGTCAGCAAGCTCAATCCCATGAATATCAATGTGGCCAGGTATCCAGAAAAACTGGATGGAAACAGAAGATAGAGAAAAATGGGCCAGTCAATGTTGAATATCGACAAGAAAAGGGTGAGAACTAATGTTAAGCGATTCCAAAGCCAGAAGAGAGCTAAGAGAATCAGTGTAAATGGAACAATCGCTGTACTGCATAGCTTCTACATGATCCAGGGCAAGAGAAATAGCATACAACTCAGCAGTGAACACAGAAACTGTAGAGGAGATCTTGTGAGCAACTACTGAGCTACGGCAAACCATGGCAGAGCCTACAGAGTCATCCGATTTCTAACCATCTGTGTAAATGGGAATAGAAGGATGGTTCGAAAGATGTTCAGCACAAAAGAAGACAGTACTTCCAAATGGGAGTATCCGCCTTCCTCAGATGACTCAAGGAAAGGTCACAGGCAGGGATGGTAACAAGTCATGGCGGAATGGGCTGATCATTGGGGACAGCAACGTCATCCAATGCCTGACCCAATTCAGCCAGTTGTGCCCCAATATGAAGGCCAAAGGGAGGAATTGCAGACTGCTGTTCTGAAAGAGCACGGCCCACTGAGGAAGAAAGACATAATCCTAGGTGGGATGCTGTGGTAAGGATCAAAGCTTGGTAGCATATTGTAGAGAAAGTTGCAAACGATGGAGGTGAATAGGAGGTTCATGGTACTCAGTGTACAAACTCTGGACTGGAGAAGTATGAAAAGCCCCAGTGCAGATCCGAAGCCCCAGATGGTGAATGGGGTCCAGCATCTTAAAGGTTGAGAAATCGAATCCACAAAGAGATTTGGAGGAAAAACTGTCCTTAACAAGTAAAGGGGAGCCTAGTGGTCAGGTTCAGAAAGAGGAAAAGCACTTCAGGTAGATGAGGCAAGGAAGGTATTAATGAGTCCACAACACAATGAACAATGGCAGTAACATCCTCCACAGTGAATGAGCCTCCAGGGGCCACAGACAAACTAGAAGCAGTGTTAACAACACTGCCACAACCTTGGGGGGAGGTAGTAGTCACTGTCACTTAAGAATTCATTGTTGTTAATGTAATTCTCTGGATCAATTTGTTTTTCATGCAGTAATTTAAAGGTGATGTAGTTTGAAGTCAATTTTAAAACCAAATAAAATGAAGTGAATAAAAGTAATGCAGATCTCATTAAGTTGATACAAAGTATCAATTTTGATAAAACAGTGCCAAGGGAAAGAATAAAATTAATTTTGAGTGGGAATGCTTATGGGAACCTACTGCTCATGGAGCATGTGCTGCCCTCCTACTGGTAACTAACATAGTTTACATTAAAATGTTTGATTTAGGTGGGAGTTAGATAAAGGCTAGTGGCATGTGCAATATCTCAAAGGCAGATGCATGAGGAGTAGCTACTGTGTGCAGAGAGGTATGTGGATCATTTCGGAATCTAACCATATACTTTTATTTATGTCAAAGAAGTTCAAACTGTAGTAGTTTTCAACATTTTTTCAGGGTATGTCAAAGGCTTATCATCAGGCACAAGAACCTATTGTTATGCTACCACTTTAACAAGTATATAAAATCAGTAGTGTTAATGTAATAAAACTTTCTCTGTGCATTTAGAAGTGTTTAAGTATATAAGTGAAAAATAAAGTAAAGAACTAGCAGAAATATTTTTTTTCAGATATACAAGAAACATTTTTAACCAAATGTGCACTGAACATAAAATCTAGCATATTTCACCCAAAAAGAACTGAAACAAAAATACTATACAAGTTTTTGTTTTTTTCACTACAGCCTGTAAATGCTTGAAAATTGTGTACCAAGTTCATTCAAGTAGATTTAACTGTTTAGTTAAAAATAATTTTTGGTACAGCATTATAGTCTGATGTGCTAGTTAAAAATTGCAGGTTTGGATTATCTAGCTTTTGAAAATTAGTTTGAGAAAAACAGCTATGACTTAATTAGTTATGCCAAATATTGAGATTTATTTTCCAGTTACTAGTTTCATGAAGAATACAAGTAACCTAATATTATATACAGTAATACTCACAGCAATCTTAAATGAAGTGCACAAGTACCAAATTGTCATAAAAAACCAAAAACAATGATAAAATAATAACCTTACATATAGATATACAGGCATTTCTAGAGATATACAATAAAGCACCTAATACATTAATATGTACAAATTTAAACTACATTTGTTTGGTCACACACAACAGTTTGAAGATAAACGAAATAATGTAATAATTGAAGGATAACTTAGCACACAGTTACTCGATCTCCACAAATACTAGAGGTTCATACATCTGATTTGTGGAAGAACAGGTTTAGTAATTTGTTTCAGGTGCAATGAAAGTGAGAAAACACCATGTAAAGTTGAAATAAAATAAAACATTTTGTTTTTGAAAGAACAGTAAAAAACTGGCTGACTGTGGAAATGGATGGACTACTGTTAAAATGGAAAATAAATAACGGAGTTATAATGCGTTTGAATAGATAACTAAAACAAAGACAGATTACAAAGACATTACAAATGCAAAAAAAACAGTGACAGGACTTCTCAGTAAATTTTGGCTATCTCAGATCAGAAAAACAAATGGTCTTCCTCAAAATAAGAAGCAAAACTTCTGTCAAAGCCCTGAAGCTCCATTTATAATAAATAATCTCTTTGTGGCTAACCAATAAGAAAACAGGCACCAGAATGCAGAACTACAATCGTAAGATATCCCACAAATATAAAAACTGGTAGGACACAATGCAACCATCCCAAGAAAGAGTATGTAAGTTCCTCGACTGGCCAAAAGCTTAAAAAATTAACACTTCAGACTGGACCTCAACTGGATTTAAGATGTTCCAACTTAGAGTTTAGAATATTTCAAAACTTTTGTGGTTATGAAGTACATAATATAAGAGAGAGTAAGAATGTAGTATGTGCATACTATGTTCATACAATCTAGCTCCATGCAGAAGCACTAGTCTATTTGTTAGTTTTAAACACTAAGCTTTCTGTGGTGTCCACTGCCAAGATGTTTCCACTGCTAACAATTCCTGAACTGTTAGCATTATAAGCCCTCAACCTTACAATTGAGCTACAAGGAGGTAAAACATTACTCATTTTCCATAGAATGCAAACTTTAAGAGCATTTAAGTACCCTGAAAAAATAAAGAAACTTTATCCAGTTTTTCATTGCAAAAGTACAAAGTTGTGAACAATGCTTATTATCATTTAGTTTGTAGGAACTGTTTCTTAAAATCAGTTGAGAGCATAATCATCATTACATAAAAATTATGTAATAAGATACAACACACTAAAAACTGCATTACAGTATGTCAAGGTAAATCTTACTTGAATTTAAAATTTCGTCGCTATTTTAAGCTTATGTAATATTTCTCAAACTTAGCATTTTGTTGCTAATTTACAGCTCTGTGTTCATCTAGTACCCATTTTATGCAGTCATACACTCTACAATAAAATATGTGGTATTAAATAAGTTTAATATAAATTAAATCTTTTTTAACAAGAGAATTGGAAATATAATCAACAAACTACATATGCTAAAACTGTATCACTGCAGAGCTAGTGGCAACTGAGCAGTTGCTGAACATCCTATTTATGCTTTTATAGGATTTAATAATGTTACTACAAAACTGATCACAATTTCATATTTCCAGTTTGTAAGTCTAGAAGAATAAGCTGATGGATTTTTTTTAGTTTTCTAAAAGTTAGCTACACTTATTGTGTTTTTCCTCTTTTGAAAAATCAATTAAATGTTAATAATTTTATGCTTTACTTTTAATTTCGAATTATTCCCATTTCCATCAGTTATCAAATACTAACCAAGGCAGACTAAGAAAATATTAATTATCAGGCCTAACCTCTTTTGAACTTAACAGTATACATAAAGTTGATTTTACTGGGCCTAAAGAAGTGTTTCTGTTTAACTACAGGGATTGATAATGTAATATAATAAAAAATTTGGAACCTTACTACATAATTAAAGACCAAGTTGGCATGTTTGGTCATGTTGTATCCCACAACTTGACAATTGTTCTGTAGCATTGTTTCAACTGCAAAAGACCTCACATAAGACTGTCACACTTAAAGCACACCACTCCCCTCTATTTTCCACAGCTCATCAGGCACATGAGAATGAGGATTTCTCAGTGCCCCTTTCATCAGTCTGACTGCACATAAATCCATAGTATTATATCTAGCAACTTAACTGGTATGTTTTGGAATAGCATGAATATGTCATGACAACAACTTGTGAACATGACTTTTCCATGATGATATCATTTTTGATTATGTTGTGTACTGTTACCTGAGACACATTGACAGCTTTTGCCAATGACCTTTGTTTACATGGATTCTCACCTGTTACAAGATACACTGCACTTTGCTTATTATGTCTGCTTGTTGCAGGTATTTTTCTGAATGGTCATGGTGCCCCAAATTAATCCATAAAGCTTTGTTATCCAGTACTATCACACACATTGGATATATGCATCTTGGGAATTCTAAATTAACAATTTGAACACATCTTTATGATTTAAGCAGATGAATATTTTGCATTGGAAAAGACTGTTAAACACCCCTTCCCAAAAGCAATAAATCTCATTTGGCATCACACTAACTACAAAACAATGGCAAAATGTAGTTCTGATACATGCCATTGAGCTGCAACTTTATATTTGCTGTGGTTGTCACATGACTTGTTGATTTGCTTATCCAACAGTATTTCAATAAAAGGTAATCAATTATCTGTAAATTTTTTTACTGCTCTTTTCAGAAAAGTAACATAACAGTGGCTTCAAAAAGCACTTTTCAAAGCATAAGGTGACTATTTTCTTTTCATCATGACATACAAAACTAATATATCCAGAAAAACATGAAAAAGAAGGGATAAACATCTTTAATTGTTTTTGAAGTTTGAAATTGATGTAATTATTCAGTTTAGGATGTGAATAATAACTTTTACAATGTAAACATTTTAAATGCAGGTAATTTTAATTTTAGCCTGATGATTATTCAGATTTGCAAACTGATGGTTGTAAAACAAAGTATACATACTTTAAACTCATATTTACTTTCCTTTAAACAGATAGCCATTTGACAAAAAATATATTTTTATTTTTGCAAGTAAAATTTTAAAAACTATTTCCCTCTTTTTCTCCCAAACAGAATATAGATATTTCTGTAATTTGTCAATGTTTTTACGATCTAAAATTCAAAACAATATTTGAATAAACAGCTTTTCCACTGGAAATAGATTATTTATACATAGGTTTTAAATAAAGAGAAAAAAAGTTTTAGAATTTAATTAAAATTAAAAAAATCTTGCATATAAATATTACATTTCTTGTTTGCAAATTTCTTGAAATAGACAAATCTAGAAAATGGTGCTTAATACATAACTCTAAGAAAGATGTGAACCAGCTAGTATTTACCTCTAACTGGCTCATACTCTAATGTCATTATATTATGGTAAATTCCAAATCTGGATGGTAGAAATATGTCAACTAAATTAAAATCATAAAGGAAGGTTGCTGGTCAGGTAAGGCAACCCTGCTTCTTGTTAAAGTATCATAAGGATGCATTGCCATTAACAGAGACCAATATGCCATCATTTTTTACTCAAAATACTACAAAAAAAATTGGTGCTTCAAAAATGTATGATTTGATTTTTTTAATGTAAATTAATACTAAATGATATCAAACTCACTAATTTCTGAATCTTCACTATTATACAATCTGACTAGAAATAATATGAAGAGCAAGGAATGTCTTGAAAGTATGTCACTGCTTTAATACATGTTGTAAGGTTTGTTAATTCTTACAACACATAAATCACTTCAACCCTTGAGAAATCAACAGATAACAATATAATACCCTGAAACTTTTGTATTTACATTAAACTAAAATTCTTTTACATACCTGCCCAAGTAGCTCCTCTCGGTATTTCAATAAATTCACGTACTATAGCACCTGGTTTCATCATTACACCAGTAACTGCTAGCTCCCAATCAGTGTTCTCAGTAATCCTTAACAAAAGAAAGTAATCACCATATGTTACATTATAACATTGATACATCACTACAAACATTTCCTAATGATGACTACTTTGAAAAGTAACTATCCCATAAAAGAATTCATTCATTGACAAGGTAATAAACAATTGTTAAATTAGCTAAAGTCTTCTTATTCCAATACAAACCAAGATTTGACAAATATCAATTCTTTTCACATGGTTCCTACACCTTAGGCAGAGTGAAATTCCTTGACTTCTCCCTGACAAAACTATGTTATTCCCTGACCAACTGAACTATGCTTGCAACATAAGAGGTGTTGCAAAATAAAATAAATCACACTTTTTTCCTCGAGGTAATGATGAACTTGACAGGACCGCGAATGTCATCACCCGTGGGAAACCGTCATTTCAACATACTCTTGGCTGTTTGGCTCTTTGCATTTCATTTTTTCAAAAACTTTTGAATCATGGTGCTCAATAGAACTCAGGTTCGTGTTGCATGTGCTGCCTTCGGGATGGCTCAGAAACTAGTTGCAGACATGCTCTGAGAATTCAAGTCTTCCAATTGCAATGCCAGATTTGAAAAATCCGAATAATGCCTCAAAAGTTTCAGAATAGTTTAATTTGAAAGAGTGGTCTGTGAAAAAGTGGTGAAATGTAGATTGGGAACTCTCCAGATTTAAATCCCGTCGAAAATGTTGGAGCTTTTGTTCAACAATGCACAGAAGTAAGATTGGAAACTTTGCCTGAATGCAAGAGGCACAAACGTGAAACCTTGATTCGTGTTCTCACTGATGTGCTCATAGAGACAGCCACAAAAACAGACATGTTTGTGGCAGTGCTGAAATATTTTGCAAATGATTAAAACTCGTGTGTGAGAACAATGATGGCCCAATCAAGCGATATTGATACTTGGAATTACTTTTTTGATTGAACTTAAATCTTATTTTACTTTGTTATGCTCTCAGGGAATAAAGTGTAATTTATTTTGCAACACCCCCTATTTTTGGACTATTTATTATTATTCATCATATGTGTAATTGCAGAAAAATTATTCATGTATTGTTTAATAAAAACAAGACAGGCTGTATGTTCAGTCACAGGTTGCTTAAATATCATTTTGAAAAGTTTCAATATAATCAGTCACATGCTTCTCAAGTTATTCATATTTTATCAGAACATACACAACAAAGGCACTTAATCCATTTGTTTATGATAGTGCATACCAATCACTTTTGATTTTAATTTAAATCACCAAAATATTATTACAGCAAAATCAACACTGTAGATTTTGAGATTTGTGAGTATTATGTTTAGACTTTTAACTCTCTCTCTACACAGGCTCAGTCAAATTGACCGACTACATGACCACTTTGTACTCATTATAGTTTTGATACTACTAACTATTAATATAGTATGTATATCTTCCCTAAATTTGGGAGACGTTCACTAAACTTTACAAGTCTTTTAGATACAAAAAAGCAGATTTTTTAGTAAAGTATTTTTAATAAACTAAAATAAATATTTGTACAAGAGTACAGATTTGTTCTTTTACTAGTTTGAGTGCAAAGTGATTTTCATGTAAAGAGTAAAAGTACTTTTATTCATCTCAAAAATCTCAAATTCCATTTGTGTAATCTCTAAAACCTCTTAAATACATATCAAACGTTTTTTTCAGTAAAACGTCACATTTTATCTGTTATTTTCTCTGCCTTAACTCTCTACAAGGTTAGTCAATTTGACCCCCCAAAAAAAATCAAAATAAATCTAAATTACCCTTTTTCTCTCTAGAATGACTTCAAATCATAATATGAAACTATATTTATCCTAAATAGCTTCAAGTTCATAACAATATAATTCTATTTATACTTAAATTTTATTGTTATGTTGCCCTTTGAACCATGTCTAACTACCATTCATGCCATTATAAGTTGTAAATCACTTGGAGAATATGTAGCTCACATTTCCCATGAGCAACTCTGAGCTGCTTGCATGCATACCTAATGAAAAATTTTCTTTTATATTAATATTCATTTTACCTATTCTAACCTTAACTAACGTAAAGTTTCCTATTTTTACATTGTAGTTACTTTTATAATAATAAATAAAGAATGCACATGAAAAACAAGAAATAAAATACTTACCTAGGTCTTTTTTTGCTGTCAGCTGCCGATGACACACAACCTTACTTTTTATATTCTAATGGTGGTAGTACACTAAATAATTTTTATTTAATTAAATAATGCACCAAATAACATACAATAATAAGACACAAAAAGCAGACAATGTTCCGTAACTATCACAATTTTTCTGGCTTTCTGACTGTGTGACAAGAGGCGTTACAAATTTATTCAAGTTAGTTGATAAGTTTACCATGGAAACGAAGCTTGTACTTAGAGAAATTGAAGATTCTACATTCAGAAAACAATGTAATATAATGTGCCATTTGATATATGAAAATCTTGGCTTTCTATTGGTTATAAATAATATAGTATTAAACATAAGAGAGAACGATTAACAAATCCTTAAAGAGAGGATGTGACAGATGGGTGTGGAAAAAGGGGGACTGATTTTTTATTTGATGGCTCTGTAAACCAAACAAGATTGAAGACTACAAAAATTATGTTTTGTCTGAGTGATGACAATATTATATCATTTACATCAAATTTCATACTTATTGGAGGGGTGGTGAATAAATTAGAGAAAAGGGGATGCCTAGAGAAAAAATGTCACATTTATCACATTAGGGCAATGTTCAGGATTTAAAAAAATTGCTTTATAAAATAAAGAGCTTAAAAGTTATATACTATTAAAATGTGTATCATTAGCTACAATTCTATGCTATAATAATTGTTTGTAAATATGTTCTTGGTATCTGATCTATATCATCGCAGTTTCAAACATTAAACATCTGACAGATTAGCATGGAAGCAGCTCATTTAACAAACATAGCATATCAGACAGCTTATAAAAAAGTTTTTTTTACATTACTTTCTTGGTAACATTATACAGCATCTTTAAATTTTAAAAGATAAGGTTTATATCTTCTTTTAATGAAACATTTTATTATGTGAAGGCTACGTAAGTTTTATTTTTAATAAAGCTTCAATTTATGGCAGCTTAAGAGGCATTTTACTGAAGCCCTACTTTCATTACTTTTTTTTCATTGTGTCTGATAAAAATGTTCAAAAATTTGCCATCACTATTCTCCAAGAGCCAATGAATAATGGAATAACCATTTATCACATGATCTATTTCATTTACTATTACGAATAAAACTTACTTTATAGCAAAAAAATAAGCAATACACTACAATACTGCAGGAAAATGACATTTGTATCCAACTTTATGCTTCTTTAGGAATAAAACAAAACTGTCTTTTATCATTTTACATAGAATAAAGACATTAAATACCTTTTTGAAAAATATTACTCGGAAACATATATAAGATAAAAGACTATAAAATTTCTTTCTTTAAAAATCTCACAAAATTTTTTTGCCAAAAAAAGAGGAATGTACATAACACCACATAATAAGCACATCATATTATTACATACATTATCCCTAATACATTATTGCCAAAAAAACTATAACAATGACATTTGATTCTTTCTTATTTTGCCATCTGTTTAAAGAATAGTTAAAAAGTTCATTCATTAATAGCCTAACAATGTAAATAAAAAAAATTGACACATTACAATCATGTTATCTTAACTGTTTTTTAGAAAACTTAAGGCTACTTTTATAAAAAATATTGAGCACTGTAACACTTACTCAAAATTGAGCACCAGGTGTCCCCCACTGTCACCAACACAACAATGTTATTTGAGCATAATTCTGCCACTTTCTACCTTACATAAATTATACTCAGTTGCTAGGTGTAAAACAGCAGTATTTTTTATGAGAATATTATGTATGTTTTGTGATAAAATCAGCACTGCAGGAATTCACTGATTTCTTTAATGTATTGAGAAATACTCTTTCAATTAATAAACTTAATTAATAAAACATGTTTAAGAAGTTATTTTGTATTATGTTCAGTTCATTTCTAGACAAATATCTGACTTTGATTCAACTTAAAATTTACTTATCCTTTATTACTAATCAACTGATTTCAAAATTCACATTAATTTTTTAGTTAATTCTATACAGAACTTTTTTTGAATTGATATTTTTTGAAGAACATATTTTGACATTACGCATTACATAATCTGCAATTCATTAAAAATTATTAATATTATGTTAATTAAACACCTCACAGAAAATTGGAAGTCTATTAAGTTGGTTAATAATTTGACTAAATAAATCTAAAACTAAAGTGGACTTATAAACAAAATAAACATATGTGACAAATAAATTGAATTTAATGCACTTACTTTCTTCAAGCTTAATGAAAATTATAGTTAAATACAAGATACATTGTGTCTTTTTTACAAATCCTACATTTTGTATTTATAATACCTCTGACAATGGCACATAATTGGTACAAAATCTGGCAATGTTGGGAGCTTCAAATACAGCACAGTAGCAACTATTATGCTGGATTTTCTTCTTGCACCCTTCAGATGCAATTCCAATTCAAACATTTATGATATGAGTTATTCTGATCACCAACATCACCCAACTTGAATCATTGTGACTTTTTCTCAGGGGGTTATTTGAAAGTAACCTACACACTGTACAGAAGTTCAAGGATGCAGCAACTTGTGTGAAATTTACCAGGACATAATTTACAGTATTGTGTGCAATGATACATCTATGAAATTAGAACAAGGAAATACTGAACATGTCATTTGCAATCTGTCAAATCTCCCAACAGTGTAATGTAGTGTTGCCAAGTTTCATCCCGTTTACATGTCATACGACAGACTTATATTACAAATGTAGGACATCACCTTGTATTTGTTTTATACATGATAAGCTAAAAGAAATGTTCTAAAAAACAGAATAATTGTATGATTTAAGCATAAGTAGCATGATATGCTACATTCTTTCAGCTAAATGTTTATACACAAGTAAAGATATAAACCCCTAGTAACTCACTTCTGGGGTTTAATAACAGTGACAGGAACTGAAAACACTGGTCCTTTTTGAGGATTTTGCACATCATACGCTCTCACCTGAAATGTTAGAAATAACACAAATTGTTTTGAAAAAAAACAGCAATTTAACTTTCTACTTAAATACAGATATTAGTCATTTTACTTGCATCTTTTACAATTTTTTTATAATCATTCTTTACAAATCTTTTGAGCTCTGGAAACACTTAGGCAAAATATCTAAAAGTATTGAATAAATCAACCTTAGAGTTAATTATGTTTTATTATATGTAATTAAATTCCATTCACTAACAGAGACAAATTAATTACCTAAGAATGAAAAGATTAAATTTATCATGCTAATTTTATATATGTAAAGAAAAAAAAATCTTATTAATGTACTGTATCATCACAGGAAAGGAGCCCACAAACTACAATGTAAACAAAACATCAATTAACAAACAAAGATTCTTTCTTATTTTAAAATGATCTTTTATGTATACATAATGCTTTATTTTATCTGTACTTTTCCTTTCTTTATTTAAGTATTATGACAAATCTATTTCAGTTTTAAAACAAAATTCTGAATTTTTACCATAAAGGTGATATGTTTTCCCATTTTAACCTGTGTTCTGCTCATTGAAGATACCAAAACATGATTTTTAACATTATAAGCCCTCAGACTCACCACTGAGCCACCATAGAGCCATATATAAATGACTGACAGCTATCACTAAAAGAAAAATAGCAGCAGTGAATTTGTTCGTTTGTTGTAGATATGCATATAAAACTACACAGCTAGTCAACAACTACCCCTGCCAACTCTTGGGCTACTCTAATCAATAGTGGAATTTCACCATAACTCTTAAAATAGATCCACAGTCCCAAAGTACAGATAATGATTAATATTTGTAGTAAGAAGGTGCAAACCATTAACCTTTGAATCCACAGTCTAGCATTCTAACCATTAAGCTTCACCCAGCCAACAGCAGTTAGAACATCATATCTAAGGTATGAGTAACAGCAATTAAACTCAAGAAAAAATAAGTAAAAAGAAAGGAAGTTAAAAGCATATTTTTGAAGATATCTCAACAGCTAATATGTTAATTATAATATTACTAAAGACAATCTACAACCAATGTAAAATTTTATCTTTAAAGTCAACATTCCACCCTCCATAATAGTCAGATACCTGTGTGAAGATCAAATAATGTAAGATGTATGGGTCAATAACAACTACTGTTTTAAGTATGAAAATTTAAATTACGGCTATGTCGTGTAATGCATTACACAACCCATTGCCACCCCCTCAAATATAAAAAAGGGAATATATGGTAAAGTAATACAAGTTATGTCAGTGAGTACAAGGATTTAAAATACTGTAGATTAGAATATCCTACGAGTAAGAACAGATAAATCTGTTAAAAGTATTACAACATCAACCAAAGTTATTAATGTAACTTACTAATAACTAAAATTCAATGAAATATAAGCAAGACCCCTCAGAGAACTTTATCAGGGAGAACATGTTCTTTATAATTCTCAAAGTTACTTAAAATACACTAAATAATACTGCACATAAAAAAAACAAGAAAATCTAGAAGTACATGAATATGCAGAACTACAATGCAATTCTTATCTAATGGAACTACTACAACAAATACAGGTGAAGAAAATGTTAAAACACCATTGGTACAAAATACATGACTATTTAAAAGAAAAATGAATTACCAATGTAAAATGAGCACCAGGTGATAATCCTCGAGCATCAACTTTAACAGAGAAAGAGCGTGCACTATATGCCATTGATAAATGAGTTGGTGCCATCAGCCAGGTACAATCACATACAATTCGAAGGTTCATCTGAAAACTGATTTTCTGGTGTGGATCTTAAAAAAGCAGGGAATGTCTTGAATTACTTTGGAATAATGTTAATATTATAATCATCATGAGACAGCCAACTACATGAACTAAATTTTAACAAAAGAATGTTATAATATTCAAATATTACACAAAAATATCATAATTTGTGTACATAACATAAAGATATATGATTTACTATCATATTAAAAAAAATATTTTTACCTGCATTTTGGTCATCTAAGAAAAATGGTTCTACAGTAATCTGAATAACCTTTGGAGTTCTGAAGTCATGTGAATTTCGCAAATATATTCCTCCATATTTATTATTACATTCTACGTGAAATCGAATGTCTCTCTCAATATTCCCAGCATTATCAACAATGTGGTCAAAAGCCTTTTCCACCTAAATTATCAAAGAAGTAAAATAAATATCAACTGAAGTATCAAAATAAATTCACATTTTGAAAGAGGTAATAGAGAACTGCAGTTATGAAAGTTCAAGCATAGAATAACATGTAGTTATGAAAATTGAATATCATCAGGCATTATATCCGCAACATGACAACACTGCAGTTTTATCCAGTATCAAGTCTCATCAACCCAGCTTAAATTTCTCAAAGTTTCATAGGGTGTAATAAAATGATTTTTAATCCAAAAAAAAAATTTAATAACTGTCTTCATAAACTTACTCAAGGATGACTAGGATGACAACAAAAAACATTAACATTTTCCTATACCAAAAATGTATGTCCAATAATACTTACCTCCCCTTTAACTTTATCCCGACGAAAGTTTCTCTTCTCTGCTCATCTAAGCATTGGTACAAATTTTAATTCAAATCTTGTGATTCTCTCCATCTATGTCAATGCGCCCCTCTACCAGATCTGTACATAAGCTCCCTATTATTACTTCATATTCACTTTTCAAGACGGTACAAATTAGTAGACTCAAATCTGGCCATATAGTGGGGAGGAAGGGTGGGAGAGTGTGAGATGAGGTAAGTATTATTGGAAATACAGGAAAATGTTAACTTCCAAAAAACACCTCTTCTCACACTTTAGCTAGAATCCCACATTGACAAGGTGGAGGGGCTGGTGAGGATAAGCCCCCGTCCCAGCCTAAAGAAGAGCAAAATGCAACACAATGAACTCAGAATTACAGGACCTGTCATGCCTCACTCAACCTGAAGAAACAGAGATTACCTGGCCTGGAATTACGGACTAAAATCCTAACTCCCCAACCTGAGAGGCATGCAACAGATTGAGGCTGATATAACAGGGATGGCCAGAGAGGAAGTGGAAGAGGTTGGCACTCCTGAAGGAGTGGAAACCAAGGCTAACCTGGCCAATATGATGGGATGAGGAGCAAAAAACTTTGGATAACAGGCAAATCTGAGGGAATGCATAAAGATGAAGACCAAATCCTGGCTGAGAGCATCTATGCCTAAAGCCCAAGAATGAGGGACAGGAGACTAGAAGGATAGGAGGTGGGCATTCCAGTGAGTGGAAAAAGCATCGATATGAAGTGTCCCGAGACAGTAACAGATCCAACAAAAACTTGAGAATGAAGCATCCATTCCATGGGAAGAAATCTGTCGGGATATCGGATTGTTCTCCTTGCTTCCCTTGTTCCTTGTATTATGAATTTAGTGGGTGATCAGCTATCTCGATAGTGGGCCTAAATGAGAAGATCCAATGTCTGAAAACAAAAAAATCCATAAAAAGTGTGAGTGCCCCCTTACTTGGAAATGTAGAAGACCACAGTGTAATTGTCCGAGTGAAGCATTACCACATTCCCTTGCAACAAATCGAGAGCCCAAGACGTGGCTCATTCAACTACTACAAGCTCTAAAAAATTGAAATGGAAAGAAGATTCCTCTGTCCAAAGGCCCTTAACTCTTTCAGCACGGGCTCGGTCCCTGGGACTGACGTTGTAACCATTTTGTGGTTGTTATAGTTTTCATGCTATAACTTTTAAATTAGTAAGCGAATGTTAATGAAATTAGGCAGATTATCAGTAAATGTTACACTGCTCTCATACACAAAATGTCCAATTTTTTTATTGAGTCTTAAGGTTTGTAAAGCAATGTTTTTCTCATGTCTTTTTTTCTTTTCAGCTGTTGCCTATCTATTATGCTAAGTAATGTTCATTTTAAGATTAAAAATACTTTTATGCATCAGAAAATTTTTAAATTTCACATACGAAATCTTTATAATATCGACATAGTTATCAACCATTTTTAAAGAAAAACTTTATATTTTATCTGACATCTTCAGTAATTAATCTCTATATGGGTTCAGTAGATTTCATCGATCTTGCAACCACCATAAAAAATTAGGAAATAAATATAAATTATGCCTCTTGCATTTTAGAATGAACATATATTATAACAAAAGAACATAAATGTTTAAACTAAATAGCTTAAATCTCATAACACTGTACATTTATATATATATTCATTATTTTTATGATATTGACCTTTCAGCCATACCTGGCTAACAATACAGAAGTTACAATTGGCTACCATATCAAATAACATAAATCAGACCTTTGGTCTGCACATAGTAACTTGTCTTGGCTGTGTTTTAGAAGACTAGTATTTTGTAAAATACAGTCACATTTCAATTATTATACATTATATATGTATATATATTATTGCTATTTTGAAATAAGTTCTTAAG